CCTCCGTACAGTCCTGATCTTTCAGGTAGTGACCAGGTGGTCAAGTCAAGTGGGCTTCACTTCAATACAAAGTTCATGGACAAAGGATGCAAATAACTCCAAGACAAGGGTATTCATTTATTTGTCTCTGCCACAATGTCACTAGAATATAGGTGGATACCAGATTGCTATGCTCAACCCGACTACACCCAAGGGGAGTTATTCCAGTTCATTTACTGAATAAAATGATACATTCAGAACATCTTCAAAACAGAAATCAAACAATTCAGTTTTGCTCCAGTTGGGAACATATTTTCTTTGATTGTCCTTTGTTTCAGATGTTGAGCTGCTATTGCGAACAGAAGACATTGAGGACCGACTTGGTGAAACTGTACTAGAATTCAAGAGGTTTACACCAAACAGATAGTTAAAAAGCTGCTCCCATTCGCTAATGATACAAGGATGAGGGTTCATAGATTTAAGGTTCCAGACAAGAGAACGTGGGGGAATGAAAAACAGGATTTCTTACACAGTGAACCGTAATGATCCGGCACTCACTCCCTATGAGGGTGTGGAAGGACAGGCGATGATTGATTTCAAGAGGAAATTGGATGGGTCATTTGAGGGATATAACCTTGCAAGGCCACGAGATAGAACGGGGTGAAGAGACTGACTGATTTATTCTACAGACAGCCAGCATGGCCTCAGGGCCGAATGGCCACCTTCTCTGGCCCAGAGATTCTCTGAATTCCAGTTGATCCAATCTCTCCACCTAATTGCCAGATCCGCTGAGGTTTTCCAGCAATTTCAGTTTGTATTTCTGATTTACAGAATCCAAAAGGTCAGGGCAGATATAGGAGCAAATTATGCCATCCAGCTCATTGAGTCTGCTCCACCATTTAATCATGGCTGATGTGTTTCTCAATATAATTTTCCTGCCTTCCCCACATAATCCTGATCCCCCTACCAATCAAGAACCTGTTGTATATACACTCAATGACTTGGCCTCCACAGCCCTCTACAGTAACAAGTTCCATCGATTAACCAAATTCTGGCTGAAGAAATTCCTCCTCATCTCAGTTCTAACAGGCTGTCCCTTCACTCTGAGACTGTTACCTTGGGTCCTGCTCTCTCCTGCTGTCAAACATCTTCTTCTGTGTCTATTCTATGGAGGCCTCTCTGTATTCTGTAAATATCAATCAGATCACCCTTCATCCTTCTAAACTCCATCACATACAGACCCAGAGTCCTTATATGACAATCCCTTCATCTCCAGTATCATTCTCATAACCCTTCTCTGGACTCCGTCTAACTCCAGCACATATTTCCGCAGATGCGGAGTCCCAAAATTGCTCACAGTATTCAAAATGCAGCCTGACCAGAGCTTTATACAGCATCAAGACTGCTCTAGCACTCCAGCAACTCTTGAAATGAATGCAAACGTTACATTGCCTTCCTAACTGCTAACTGAACCTGCATGTTAATGTTAAGAAAATCCTGAACCAGGACTGCCAAGTCCCTTTGTGCTTCAGAGTTTGGAAGCCTTTCCCCTTTTAGAAACTTTTTAGAAAATAGTCTACGCCTCTATTTTTCTACCAAAGTGCATTACCTCATGCTTTCCCACATTGTATTCCATCTGCCACTTTTTTGCCCACATGCCTAGCATGTCCAAGTCCTTTGGCAGCCTCCCAGCTTCCTCAACACTACCTTCCATCCACCTACCTGTGCGTCATCTGCAAACTTAGCACAATGCCCTCGGTTCCTTCATCCAGTTTGTTAATGCAAACTTCAGCAAAATTCCCCTGCTGTTGTCCTCAATCCCTCTATTTCTGAAGCCAAGATCCCATAAACTTTGCTAATTCCTCTCTCTCTATGTCCTGCCACCTTCACTCATCTCTGTACCTGAAGCCCCGCCATCAGGTCCCTCTATCTTGCTCACTCTTTAGATCTGTGCCATCAAGCATGTTTTGCTCCCTCTGTCCCTTCTGCCAAACCACGTAGAATCATAGAGTCATACAGCACAGAAACAGACCCTTCAGTCCACCCAGTCCATGCCAACCATAATCCCAAACTAAACTAGTCTCTCCTGCCTGCTTCTGGCCCGTATCCCTTCAAACCTTTCCTATTCATGTACTTAACCAAACATCCACCACTTCCTCTGCCAGTTCATTCCACACACGAACCACCCTCTATGTTAAACAATCGCCCCTCATGTCTTCTTTAAATGTCTCTCCTCTCGCTTCAAAAATATGCCCCCTAGTCTTGAAAGCCCCCATCCTAGGGGGCTATCATTAACCTATCTATACCTCTCATGATTTTATAAACCTCTATAAGGTCACTTCTCAACCTCCTGTGCTCCAATAAAAAAAGCCTTTCTAACTCAAGCCCTCCATACCCAACAACATGCTGGTAAATCTCTTCTGAACCCTCCTTAGCTTAATAATATCATTCCTTTAGCAGTGCAAGCAGAACTGGATATAGTACTCTGGAAGAGACTTCACCAATGTCCTGTACAACCTCGACATGACTTCCCAATATCACACTTCTCTGCACTGAATTACAGCTGCTAGGCCACAGAATGTTATGGGGGATTTATGTGTCAAAACCAAACACACAGAGGAGAGCCATCAATGCTTTCTTTATTGTTGTTTCCGCAATTGAGTTTGAGCCCCGAAATCTAATTGCACTTGAGGCTCATAGAGCCCATGAGGAGTCATTTGGTCATCACCAGCCTGATGCCTGCTGCATGTCTAGTTTCATAATTCATATATTTGTGGGAAAATGTTTACTTTGGGATTGCAAATTTAAATGTAGATGGACGGAAATACTCATTTGAGAAATTGGCAAACACGGCTCTGATCTAAACACAAACCAATCAAGCCTGGGTTAATTTATCTGTGGAATTCCTTGCCCAGTGAAGCAGTTGAGGCTACCTTGTTGAATGTTTTTAAGGCAAAGATCAATAGATTATTGAACAGTAAAGAAATTAAGGATTATGGTGAGCAGGCGGGGTAAGTGGTGCTGAGTCCACAAGAAAGATCAGCCATGATCTTATTGAGCAGCTTGATGGGCCAGAGGCCTACTCCTGCTTCTACATTTTAGGTTCTTAAAATTCCAGCTAAAAAGGAACCTTCGTTGTTTCAGAGGCATTAGTGAGAAGACTCTACAGACAACCCCATTATGGATTTCTTTTTTCTACTGACACAAGGCAGTTTGCAACACAGTCAGTCAGCAGGAACTGGGTGTTTAGGGGCAGTGAACAAGCTGTGAGCACAGATACTGTCAGGAGCCAGGGTGTTCCTTGTGTTTAAACCAGTAAGCAAGAATGTGGATGAGGCCCAAGGCTTGAACTGAGAACTAAAAACGCTTTGAGGTCTGAGAAGGAAAATTGGAGGTTCATTTTGCAAAAAAAAACCAAATGAAAGTATCCCAAAACAAGTATTGCGACCCAAGGAATACTTGGAATACTTAGAAGAATTCAAGTGAATTCTAGGGGCCTCTCTGTTTTATCTGTGCATTTATTGGGAAAGGTCTTAGTTTAATTTGTGTTGCTTGTGACCCAGAGAGGGTAGCCCAAATAAATAGTGCGACAGCCTTTGTTATAAGCAGAATAAAACACTAATTTATCATCACTGACCGCACCAAAGATGCGTAAGGCTCAATCTCAGTTCAAATCTTGCAGGGAACAGAAGATTGTATTGCATGTCGTTTGAATTTAGTCAATTTACAAGAAGCTCCGGTGTGTAAAAGAATGTAACAAGGAGACAAGCTTAAAAGTCTTGCAAACAGAATCAGAGCAAGGGAGTGAGCATCTGTAGTCAAGGGACAGTTATTGGGCCTTTTTACCTCTGCGAATAGGTGGAGCTGAGGAAAATTCCCCAGAGGACCGTAACATAATTAGGTTCCAGCAGGAGTGAATAATTCCAATATTCCCATCTCTTAGACGAAAACTCTCGAGGGAAGTAAGGAGTAAATTGGAAGGGATAACATACACAATTACGCAGGATATTGTAAAAATTAATGGTGTTTCTTTTATGTTTTCTCAAACTGTTATGATCAATGCACAGTCTCAGATTGAATGGATGACCCTTTAGAACAGTGAGGAGAAGGAATTTCTTCAGCCAGAGGGCTGTGGAGGTCAAGTCATTGAGTATATTTAAGACAGAGTTGGGTAACGGGATCAAACGTTATGGGAGGAGGCAGGAGAATGGGGTTTGAGAAACATATTGGCCATGATCGAATGGCAGAGCAGACTTGATGGTGTGATTCTGCTCCTATATCTTATGGAGACGGGAGAAGTATATGTCTCTTTTTCAGTCCCCTATCAGCAGGCACACCATAAAGTTGATTCACCTGGTTCCCAATAAGGCTAATCATATGCTTTCAATATATTAGATGTTGATGCATCTTTTTATTTAATCAGGTATCTTTAATAAATAGAATAGTATTGCTTTTACACAACCAAAACATTAAAAAAAAATGCAGAATTGGAAAAAAACGTTTGCTCTTTTAAGTAATCCCGCATGCACACAACACACACAAAAAAGTGTATTTCTCTGCAGAGATTCAGTTTGGGGAAAAACATTCTCAGCCAATGAAACAAATGATAAAGTGTCCAATGTTCAGATCATCCAGAACAGAAGATCTAAACTTTCATCTGTGTCCAACTGAGGGGCATCCAGCTCCCAAAATCCAAGATTTCTGGTTTTAACATCATCAGAAAGTGACGAAGCCAAGGCCGTACCTTGTTTCCCCCTTGGTAGGGACAGAATCTGTGTCCACATTCCCCCTCCACCCTGGAGGTGTGGGCTCAGACCTCCGAGAACATGAGTGGGTCCTCAGACCCTAACAATTTCCAAGTATGTCCGGTCATTTCTCACAAAAGCCACTTCATACCAAAGTAACATTCTGTCCGAATGTTGTTCTCCTTTCTTTGCAACCTTCGACATTAGATGAGCACTTTTCCGTTCCCCTCTTGTCATGTTGACAGCCAAACTGGAGCCAATCTTGACGTGGTCCAAGTTTATTCACGGAGCCCAACAGGCATGTGCCTCCTGACTCCGCTCCCTGTCAGCAAGCATGCCTTAACATGTGCTGAACTGACCCTCCCAGCAGCACCCTCCACTTGTATACACTTAAGCTCAGTGGATACAATTGGCAGCCGTGCAGTCAGGGCATTAAAAGTCTCTACTTGGTGTGACTGCCCTTGTGTCTCAGCAGGGTGGAGGACTGAGTGAATCCCTTCCCGCAGACAGGGCATGTGAACGGCCTCTCCCCGGTGTGAACCGTCTGGTGTCTCAGTAGGTTGCATGACTGATTGAAGCTCTTCCCGCACACGGAGCAGGTGAACGAACGCTCCCCTGTGTGGACCCGCCGGTGCTTCTGCAGCGTGGACGAGTCGGTGAATCCCTTCCCGCACTCGGAGCAGGAGAAGGGCCTCTCCCCCGTGTGGACCCGCCGATGCGACAGCAGGTGTGAAGACTGACTGAACTCCTTGCCGCACACGGAGCACGGGAATGGCCTCTCGCGGGTGTGAACCCGTCGGTGTGACAGCAGGTTGGATGATTGAGAGAAGCCCTTCCCGCACACGGAGCAGGCGAACGGCCTCTCTCTGGTGTGAACCCGCTGGTGGGTCAGCAGGGCGGACGAATGGGTGAAGCCCTTCCCGCATGCGGAGCATGTGAAAGGCTTCAACCCCGTGTGGACCCGCTGGTGGGTCACCAGGGCAGACGAGTGAGGGAACCCCTTCCCGCACACGGAGCAGGTGAACGGCCTCTCCCCCGTGTGACTGCGCCGATGGATCTCCAGCACAGACGGGAATCTGAATCCCTTCCCACAGTCCCCACATTTCCATGGTTTCTCCATGGTGCGGGTGTCCTTATGTCTGCCCGGGTTTGACAATCAGTGGAAGCCTTGATCACAAACACAGAATGCAGGTACAGTCTCTCTCTCTCTGCTCTGAATGGAACAATGTTTTCTCAGTCTGGTTAAAACTCCTTCAACACTCAGATTCCTTCCACTCGGTGGGGTGTGTGTGTGTGCAAGTGTGTCTCGATGCTTTTCCAGTCACACCAACATGTCTGCTTCAAAAGATCTTACAAAACAAACATTCCTCTTCCAGCTTCACAGACCCATGATATTCAGGTCCCCACGAACCAGCTGATGTTTCATAGATTCATACAGCACAGAAAAGGCCCTTCAGTCCATCGAGTCTGCACCCACATAACTTCCACTAAAAGTGCGTAAGTCCCAATGTCATGTGTGATGCTTTGTTTGAGATTTCTGGCTGCAAATCCTCCCCTTTTGGTACCCTGCAAAAGGTGATTACAAAAGTCAGCAATGTCAGTACGGGGTAGAAATTCAGAACAGACAATTTTAGTTTGGTAACATCTATATCTTCTTTCATTCTCTAAAAGCTGTAATGCTCCATCCCACATACTCTTCCTTGTTCTCACTCTGTTGTACTTAATATTCCACCTCCCTCCCCAATCTCCTGAGGAAGCTGATTCATTCTGATTGAAGGGCCCATGCTCACTTCTTCCTGTCTTGGACAGAAATAAAATTCCATGCAGGCTGCAAGATATATATGCGACCATTAGATATGTACACAACTATTACATAGATAGGTAACCATTAATGAGATTAAAATGTGCGCAACATACTGCACTATGTTACTTGATGAGAAATACAGAGGTGATGTGACAAAGGTTTTTTTTAATTGAGGTAGAGAGCGATCATTCCTGGAACTCTCTGCCTATGAGGATGGTGGAAACGAAGGTGATTTCCATATGAAACTGGATAAGCATTTGGAGGAAATAAACTCATGATGCCACAGGGATATAAAGGGAGAATGGGACTGACTGGAATGCTCTATAGAGAACCAGCATGGATGGGAGCTGCTAAACAAGAAATGTATGATGTACTTACAGTATGACATTGCAAAACTAAAACTAATAATAAATTTAATTCAGCACATGGAGGGGCGATGGCCTAGTGGTATTATTGCTGGACTGTTATTCCAGAGACTGAGGTAATGTTCCAGGGAACCAGGTTTGAATCCTGCCATGGAACAAAAACAGAAGTTGCTGGAAAAGCTCAGCAGGTCTGGCAGCATCTGCAAAGGAGAAAACAGAGTTAACATTTCGGGTCCAGTGACCCTTCCTCAGAACTGATGGTAGCTGGGGAAAACGTCAGTTTACATGCAGAAAATAGGGAGGTGGGTGGGTGGGGTAGGGAGTAAACGATAGGATAGAGCCCAAAGAGAGAGAAAGACAGTTGGACAGACAAAGGAGTTGCTAACAATCAGGCTGGGAGGGTGAGTAGTTGTTAATGGGGACTGTTAGTGACTAACAACAGGGGATGTGTAATGGCAGGCTATGTGGTAACAAGGCCTGGTGTGTGGGGTGGGGGGGCTGGGACATGGGAGAGTTTAGGCCCTAAAATTATTGAACTCAGTATTGAGTCCGGAGGGCTGTAGGGTCCCCAAGCGGAAAATGAAGTGTTGTTCATCCAGCTTGTGTTGGGCTTCACTGGAACACTGTAGCAAGCCAGAGACAGAGATGTTGGCCAGGGAGCAGGGTGGTACATTGAAGTGACAGGCAACGGGTAGTTCAGGGTCTTTTTTGCGAGCAGAACGTAGATGTTCTGCGAAGCGGTCGCCAAGTCTACGCTTCGTTTCCCCAGTGTGGAGGAGACCACATTGTGAGCAGCGAATGCAGTGAAGTGTTGCTTCACCTGGAAGGTATGTTTGGGCCCTTGAATCCTGCAATGACAGATGGTGGAATTGGAATTCAATAAATATCTGGAATTAAGAGTCTAATGGTGACAATGAATCCATTGGTGATTGTCAGAAAAACCCATCTGGTTCAGTAATGTCCTTTAGGGAAGGAATCGGCCATTCTTACCTGGTCTGGCCTATGAGTACCTCCAGATCCCACAGCCAATGTGGTTGACTCTTAACTGCCCTCTGGGCAATTGGGGATGGGCAATAAATGCTGGCCTAGCCAGCGATGCCCTTAACCTGAGAATGAATTAAAAAAAACCTGACACTGCATTGAGAGACTTAATATGTACATCGGAACAGCCCCAGACATCTCTCTGTTCCATGTCATTTGCAAATGTGGGCCATTTCCCGACAAACCACCGCTTTGAGCGAGGAAATCCTTTGAGCCAGACAAATAAACGTGTCAAACTGAGGGAGTAAAGGATGTCAATGTCTTGAAGAGAGAGATACCAGGACCAACTTTTTCCAGAGTCTGCCCCCTCCCTGAAATTCAGTCCCTTTCCCTCCAGTTGCTGCAATACAACACCTAAACCCCAGAACGCGAAAAGACATGGAAAAAAAGTGTTGTGCTCACAGATGTTGGAGGAAGTTGCAGTCTGGGGGTGAAGCTCAATCTTCATTCAGAGAGAGAGAGGAGCAGCAGGAACTTTGCTGAGCAGCAATGGGGCAGCTTCAGCTTGTCCAACTTCCGTATTCAGCTAATAGGGGATCTCTGATTGGCAGGAGGACCAGAAGCCTTCCAGTCCTCCAGAGTTTTCCATTGGTCAACTGGGGCCAGGCCGTTTGTGACGACAGCGCCCGGCCCCCGCACATGCGCAGTCCCTCAGCCCTCCCCCGGAACCTTGGAGTCCCAGCAGCAGGTTTTGCTGCAGATTGTCCCAGTGTTGTTTGAAAGGACAGCACTTTGCACAGGATAGACCAGGGGCATTTTCAACTAGGGACCAGCATCAATGCACACCCTCAGGGGACACACACGCTGCTGCATTTTATCCTCCTTCATTCCAGGCACCGTCTCCTTCCTTTGGTGTTGGTATCATTCTGTTTGCGTCCAGTGCCACTGTCTCACCTCCAGCTCCCACAAACTCCTCTCTGCCACTGTCTCCCTGTCTCTGCTTCAGTCAGCACTAGATCGGAGACAGACTCAGAATCTGTGTGTTACCCTCACTGACATTTGTCCAGGGAGCAGTGGACACTGAGTCATTGAGTGTATTGAAGGCTGCACTAGAAAGATGTTTGAAGAAGAGGTTTATGGAGCATAGGAAGGTAACTGGAGCCAAGGCCGACACTAGATCAGCCATAATATTTTTGCATGGTTCAACAGGTTCAGTCGACCAATAGACCAATCTAGCTCCTATTTCAGGTAGAGATGTGTATGGACTTGTTGATAGCTATGTAACTGCAGTATCTGAATGCAGAGGGTGTGTATTATGTACAGCGGAGTAAGAGTGTGTGGGATGGAGGTTTACAGCTTTTAGGGAATGAAGGAGGAAAGAACATTGCACAGAGACTGGATTCATCTGTTCTGAATTTCTATCCTGCAATGATAATTATGACGTTTGGAATCACCTTTTCCAGGATATTTGAAGGGAATGGTTTGCTGACAGGAATTTCAAGATCTGAGTCACTTGATTTGTCAGCACTAAAATATCACCAGCATTTGCATCTGGTAGGACGATTGTTTGTCTGCTGCAGAAGGTTTTAAAACATCATCTGGAAAAGCACCGGTACACGCACACACATAGCCCAAGAGGAACAAAAAGCACCATTCCTAACAGGGAGAGACCTGTTTGTGGATGAATTTTCAACTGCTCATCAGTCCTGAGGACAGCGTGAGAATGGGGAAACTGTGGCAATTTGAGGCACGTCAAAAAGATTCAAAGCCCTATCCGAGCTGGAGGTTCATTGACGCAGTCACGCCAGGGATAGGCCATTCACCTGCTCGGTGTGCGGGAAGGATTCACCCATTCGTCTGCCCTGGTGACATACCAGCGGGTTCACACCAGGGAGAGGCCGTTCACCTACTCAGATTCTGGGATGGTGTTTACTTATTCCTTCAGCCTGATGAGGCATCAGTGAGTCCACAAGAGATTGCAGGGACGTGTTATTTCTGCTGCGATATCAAGGTGTAGAGCTGGATGAACACAGCAGGCCAAGCAGCATCAGCGGAGCTGGAAAGCTGATGTTTCGGGCCTAGACCCTTCTTTGGTTCGCTCGCCAAGCTGTTCGTTAGTTTGCAGGGTAACGATTAACGATGCACACAACCGGCTCCACAGATATGACAGGGAAATTACGCACCTGAAATCCTATTCCTAGACACAACCAACCTACAGTGGACAACAGACTTGGAAAGAGCCATTAACATCAGTCAACAAATAACAAGAACCAAGAAAAGACAGATCCTACAAGAAAAACTAGCCAAACTAACCCACCAAAACGACAACCAAAGATCAGACACTTGGGTAAGAAACCACTCAGACAGGACACTAACAGACACAGAGAAAGCTGTCTAATACATGAACTCAACTACAACATGCTAACAGGACAGAATTCCTAGCCACACTAGAATCCACACTGAAGACCAACGGCATCAATGAGGAAACACAACAAGCCATGCGAACTAAGGAACCAACTCAACAAGCGAACCAACCACAGCATCCACAACCTGAGCGACAAATCTACTCAAGAACCTTAGATTTCTGCTGTTAACTACATCCAGAACCAGACTGTGTTCATTCTGACTGAAGAAGCGGCATTATGTTCTTTCTGATCTTCTTTTCCGATCCTCCCTGCTAAAACCCAGTTTCATATTTTGGATCACGGAAAAGTGTAATTGGAATGTAGACAGCACTAGCATATGAAGAGATGCTGGGTTGGCTAGGACTGTAATCACTGGAGTTTGAAAAATGAGAGGGGATCTCACAGAAACCTGTAAAATTCTAACAGGGCTAGACAGGGTAAATGCAGGAAAGATGTTCCAGGACGGAGTCCACAAGCAGGATGGGTCACAGTCTGAGGATGTGGGGAAGGCCATTGAGGACTGAGATGAGGAGATCACCCAGAGAGTGGCGACCTGAGGAATTCTCTGTCACAGAAAGCGGTTGAGACCAAAATATGGTTTTCAAGTATGAGTCAGATACAGCTCTTTGTGTTAAGGGTTAAAAGGGTGTGGGGCAAAAAAGGGAACAGGGTTCATGATTATATTGAATGGCAGAGCCAGCTCATCAGGCCAAATGGCCTACTCCCTCTCCTATTTTCCATGTAAAATATATTTAGTTTATTTTGGTAATTAGCCAGAGTCAACATGTTTTTTAACAAATTTATTGGAGATCTTTGAAGATGTAAAGTGCTGATGAGGGGAAAGCAGTGGATATACTGTACTGTGTTTTACATAAGACATTCGATGAGGTGCCTCAAAAATGACTGGAGGAAATAAAGGCTTGTGGTGCACAGGGCTAACATAATGGCATGGTTGAACAATTGGCTGGCAAACAGGAAACTGCAGGCATAGATGGGTGACTCTTATGAGGGGCATGGTGAAATGGGTGGTGTGCAACAGGGACTGGTTCTGCGACTTAAGCGGTTTACAATTTATGCAGATTACTTGGATAAAGGGACAGAAGGAATGATCGCTAAATATGTTGCTGACATAAAGTGAGATTTTTTTAAAAATTTAAGTTGTGAAGAGGTCAACAGGAAACTATAAATGGATTTATAAATAAAAGCAAAATACTGTGGATGCTGGGAATATGAAATAAAAACAAACGCTGGAGAAATTCAGCCTCTGTGGAGAAAAAAGCATAGTTACCATTTAAAGTCCAATAGTGACTGCACTTTGGAATTGAAATGATGCTGAAAAATGATGGGTTTTTAATGGTGGAGGAATGATGCAGAATAGGTGTTAATGGTCAGTGTTAATAGCAGAAAATATGTCAACTCTGTTGACAGTCTGTGTATGCAAACAAGACAGTGGGCTGGAGGGAGAAAGGGGATAATATCAAAAAATATGTTCATGGTATGAAGTTGCTGAACTTGATGTTGAGTTCTGAACGCTGAAGTGAGGGGGAGAGCCAGAGAGTTGGAAAGAGAGAAACAAACCAGAAACTTTCAACTGGCTGAACGAAAGAGGAACTAATACTTCAGATAATGAATCAAGTCTCTCTCCAAGCTTCCCATCTCATCCCAATATTCAGGGAGGACAAAATTGAGAGCTAGTTCACAGAATCCCTACAGTGGGGAAACAGGCCATTTGGCCCAACAAGTCCACACTGACCCGTACCCACTTCCTGTAACCCTGCATTTCCCACGGCTAACCCACCGAGCTTGCACATCCCTGAATACTATGGACAGTTTAGCATGGCCAATCCACCCTAGCCTGCACAACTTTGGACTATGGGAGAATGTGCAAACTGCGCACAGTCACCTGAGGGTGGGATTGAACCCGGGTCCCTGGCACCATAAGGCAGCAGCACTAACCTCTGAGCCACTATGCCACCCTGTTATTAAGAGCAAACAAAGAAAATCACTACAATGCTCGGGTGGGTGAAGGAGACACAGTCTTTTATTTTGCAGAGCTCATCCAGAGCTCCTTATTTGAAGAAAGTATTTCAACTTTGCTTCAAAATGTTCACTGAATAAAACTGTACTGAGTATTGACGGGAGCCATGTGTCTGCTTGGTCTTTTAAAGAGAAGTTAAATTGTGCTCGGTTAAAGAGCTCTGTTGTTGTTGGTGTTAGTCCAAATCGCCCATTGATCCAGCAGATTTCAAACCAGGTGTGCTCGAAGAGTTAAGTAACATCCAACCTGGAATTAATTTCAGAGCGGCAGGCAGTCACGAGTGGGGTACTGCAGGGTTCAGTGCTGTTGTACCCTGCATCATTTCAACACTGTCAGATGCAATTAGATAGAAACATAGAAAATAGGTGCAGGAAGATTGCTCTTCAGCCCTTTGAGTCTGCATGGCTGACCACGCAATCTCAGTATCCCATTCCTGCTTTCACCCCACACCCTTTGATCCTTTTAGCCGCAAGGGCCACGTCCAGCTTCCTCTTGAATATATGTAACAACAGCTTCCTGTGGGAGAGAATTCCACAGGTTCACAACTCTCCGAGTGAAGAAGTTCTTCCTCATCTCAGGCCTGAATGGCTTACCCCTTTATTCTTAGGCTGTGATCCCTAGTTCTGGACTCCCCCAGCATCGGGAACATTCTTCCCGCATCTAGTCTGTCCAGTTCCATCAGGATTTTTCATGTATCTATGAGATCCGCCCCCCCCCCATTCTTCTAAATTCCAGTGACTCCAAGCTCAGTCGATCCAGTCTTTCTCCATATGTCAATCCTGCCATTTTGGGAATCGGCCTGGTGAACCTTTGCTGGACGCCCTCAATAGCAAGGATGTCCTTCCTTAGACTAGGAGACCAAAACTTTTTTTTTTTTATTTTATTCATTCATGGGATGAGGGTGTCACTGGCCAGGCAGCATTTATTGCCCATCCCTAATTGCCCAGAGGGCAGTTGAGAGTCAACCATTATTGCTGTGGGTCTGGAGTCACACGTAGGCCAGAACAGGTAACGATGGCAGTTTCCTTCCTCAAAGGACATTACTGAACCAGATGGGTTTTTCCGACAATCGACAATGGATTCGTGGTCATCATTAGGTTCTTAATTCCAGATATTTTATTGAATTCAAATTCCACC